ATATAATTGATTTTATAGAGCAATATCATCAATTATTTTTTGCAATAAAATTTGTGCCCAAAACTCATTTTCTTAGACCAAGTTCTTCTAAAAGTATGGCTTCTTTGGATTATTTTTCTGAGATTTATAATAATCAAATAGACTCTAATATTAATTTAATGTATTTTAAAAAATTAATTTTTTAATATCAAAATTTAAAAGACAAGAGGGTACTTATCAACAATTATCATCTATAAAGATTTATTGTGAAACAATTTAAAAGCCTTTCACTATAAAAACAAAGAACAATGTATCAATTTTGTCTTTTTTTTCTGACAAGAAATAATCGGGTGCTATTAAGATAAAAAAGTTTTGATAAAGAAGATTTATTTCTTAATTTTTGGGAAAAATGAAGAAAATTCAATAACTCAACTTCTTTTTTTTTTTTCATAATTGTAAATTGATACGAAATTGATATCTTAAAATTTCTCATTATTTTAATTCTATTAAAAATTTATTTTCACTTCCCGCATTCTAGAGTTATGCAAGCTAGTGTAAACAATGCAACTAGGTATAAAGAAGAAGACTGAAAATTGTATTCGGCCAAGTTGATTACAGAGTAGCTAGAGAAATCATTTGAAAAGCAGGCTTAATGAACCCAATCTACTGTACTTGATTTCAATTTCTTGTGAAGGTGCATGATTTTTCTTGTTCATGGGGTAAGAAAAACAGAAAAAGACAATTGGATTTTTACTGTATCCGATCGGTCTTGCACTACAAGATTATTTATTGCGCGAATGGCGAATTGGCGCACTACTCTTTGTCCGGTAAGTGGATGACAGGGGATTTTTATTGCGTGAGGGCAAAGCAACTTGACATTGCGAGCATTACTCTCTTTCTCTGCTCAAGGGGACAATTTTAGCGAACAGTTCCCATGGCAGCAACACTATAAAGGAGGAGCCTTCCATTATATTCTTGAACAATTTCCTTTCTGACTTGAAACACACTATTTCAGTGAGGGAAAACATTGGCCATGATCACTTCCATTTTCACTTATTTTCTTCTTCTATTTCTCGTTCACTTATTTTCTATTGGATTTATATCCCTCCAAGCAAGCGAATTTGTTTCCTATTCAACCAACTTCACGACTTGCTGGGAGATAGAGAGAAATGCACTTCTCAAGTTCAAAGAAGGTCTCCAAGATCCTTCAGGCCGGCTTTCTTCTTGGGTTGGCAATTATTGTTGTACATGGTCAGGTGTTGGCTGCAATAGGCAAACGGGACATGTCACGAAGCTTGACCTCGGTATGCCGCCCATCAGTTTTAATATTAATGATCCAAAAGCTTTTGATCCTGCATCCTTACAAGGTACGATAAGTCCTTCATTGCTTGATTTGAAATATTTATACTACTTGGATCTAAGCTGGAACAATTTTGAACAAACTCCAATCCCCAACTTCATTGGTTCATTCACCAAGTTAGAATACCTTGATCTCTCTTATGCATCTTTTAGTGGCTTGGTTCCTCCCCATCTTGGAAATTTGTCAAACTTGCGTTACCTTGATCTCTCCTCACAAAGCTTAGATCAAGATACTTTGGTTTCTGATTTGAGTTGGATCCATGGACTCTCTTCGTTGGAACGTCTCAGATTAAAGATGGCAAACCTTAGTTTTGCTTCAACCAGTTGGTTGCAAGCTATAAACAAGCTTCCTTCCTTGATGGAGTTAGATTTATCTTTCTGTGGACTGCATGAAATCCCTACCTCTCTTCCAATTTTGAACTTCAGTTCTATTCAGATCATTCATCTTTCATTAAATCATTTCAATTCACCAATACCTGGTTGGTTGTTCAATATCAGTTCTCTTGTTGAGCTTGACTTGTCTTCTAATGGCTTTAGTGGACAAATACCTCCATCTGTACAAAATCTTAATAACATGAGGGATCTTGTACTTTATGAAAATGATCTCTCGGGTCCGCTTCCAATTTCTATTGGAAACTTATCATCCTTGGAGACATTATTTCTCTCTTCCAACCAATTGAATGGAACAATTCCTAAATCCATTGGACAATTGAAGAAGTTGATTATGCTAGCTCTTAGTTCTAATAACTGGGGAGGTGTCGTGTCTAGAATTCATTTTCTCCACCTAAACAATATGAAGGTTTTTCTGTTATCCTCCATCAAAGAAAAGTCACTAGTATTTGATGTGGGATATGACTAGATTCCTCCTTTCAGTCTAAATTTAATCTTCATTAAAAATTGTCAAATGAATTCCAAATTTCCTATATGGCTACAAACTCAGAAGGAACTGAAGATTGTTGAGCTTATTGAGGTCGGAATTTCAGGTTATGTACCTGATTGGTTCTGGAAACTGAGTCCACAAATGTAGACGTTATCTCTTCACCATAACAAATTGTGTGGAGAGCTTCCAAGATCCTTACAATTTCATTCACATTCTTTGGTAGACCTCAGTTTCAATTTATTTGAAGGACTAGTTCCACTATTTTCTGGTGTCAGCATGCTCAATTTGAAAAACAACTCACTCTCAGGACCAATTCCAGCAAATTTTGTCGATGGCATGCTACATTTAGCATTTATGGATCTTTCTGAGAACTACTTCAATGGCAGCATTCCTTCTTCAATAAATAAGTTGGAGAAGTTACAAGTTCTATTGCTAGAAAATAATGAACTTTCTGGAAATATTCCTTCAATGAATAGATTGAACAAGTTATGGACATTAGACCTTTCAAATAACAATTTATTTGGCAACATTCCAAGCTCCTTGTGCTCACAGTCACCTCTTATTCATTTGAAATTGAATGGCAACAATTTTTATGGAAAGCTTTCATCCTTGCGAAACTGCACAAACTTAGGGACACTTGGTCTTGCAAATAATCAATTTCATGGAGGCATTCCAAGATGGATTGGAGAAACTCTATCTTGTTTATCAATACTACAGTTACGAGGAAACATGTTTAGGGGAAAGATACCAAAAAGTTTGTGCAGCCTTCCTTTACTCCATGTTATGGATCTAGGGCAGAATAATTTTTCAGGATCAATTCCACCATGTCTAGGCAATTTAAGTAGCCTGTATCAGTCCAAAAATGATACTTCTGTATTTGCTGCTGTTGCTATTGATGCTGTTGTTACTAATTTTATTACTGTTGCCACTACTGTTGCCACTATTGTTGCTGGTGGTAAGGAGGGTGTTGTTGCTGCTGCTATTGCTTTTGAGGGGCTTATGCCTTTCATTGATGAAATGCGGGAGATGGAATTTAATGTTAAAGGACAAACACTTGAATTTGTTAAGATAATTGATCTCGTGAATTTGATAGATTTATCAAGTAATAATCTTGAAGGGGAAATTCCGGAGGAGATAATGAAGCTTTCTGCCTTGGGTACATTGAACTTATCTCGGAATCAATTGACAGGAAACACCCCTGAGAGGATTGGAGACTTGCAGTTGTTAGAAACTCTTGACCTCTCAGTCAACCATCTTTCAGGTCCGATTCCAGCAAGCATATCGTCCATGACCTTGTTAAGCCATTTGAATTTGTCTTATAATGATTTGTCTGGACCAATCCCATTAGCAAACCAATTCCAAACCTTCAATGATCCATCCATTTATGAAGGAAACCCAAAACTTTGTGGA